TGGACGGAAACCTGGGAATCTTGGGAATGGTCGAGGTAAAGGTACAGGATTATCAATTGGAATCGGTTGCAAGTTGTCACAATCCTCTTCAAAAACACATTGACCAATTGAATTTTCCAAATATCCTGAAGGACAGAAGAAGTCAGCTTTACACGATTTAATACAGGCTCGAGGTTTAGGATTGGCACAGGTTAAAGGGCAATTAGTACCACAAGGATTCCATACTTTGGCAGCTGTTCGAGGCCTTGAGTCAATTGTCGATTGGGCTGAAGTTGAGTCTGTTATTGGGACAGTTTTATTAGCTGAAACAGCCAACACTAGGAAATTTACAGCAAGTGTGAAAATCAAAAAGATCATCTTGTAAACGATATAAGTAACAGTTGAATCAACAATTTGTATGGATAAAACTAATCTGAAGAATCGGTTTCCGTTGCTTATTATTTATACTGAAATTCATACAATTTACTCTTTTTATTTCTAGAATGAGTAATTATACTTACGTACGATTCATTTTTTTTTTGTTTTTACACCAAAACGACACCTTTGTTTGCAGCTGATGTATATTAACTTGAAAATGATGGATTAGTTAAAGATATAACCATTGTATTTATCATTTGCCACTGTTATGTAGTTGATTGTTGTGGTTTATGCAAAGGCAAAAATAAATCAATCTTTATGATCTATTTTTGCCTTCGATACAAACAATAACCATAAAAATCATTGTTTGTCTCATTGCAAAATTATCTTAATTTCAATCATATTTAAACTCATCCAGATTTAAATGATTTTTTATCCTTTTTCTAGATGAACCCTGTTTCTGGCGATGGTCACACCAAGAAAATCATTGTTCAGATGAATATGCGACTTTCGTCACTCACTTGGTTGGTACAAATCGACTCAACTTGACAGTTTTCACTCAAGATGCTATCTGTTGGTAAGTAATCGCAATTATCCCATCAGTTGAATCATTTTGTTAATTCTGTGTTCTCTTTGTTTTTCAGTGATTTCCTAAAGTTCCAAGAATGTGCTGTTGGATCAACTTCTGGATCATGTTCTGCTCAAGTTGAAGATTTTGTCGAGAGATTTTTCTACAAACTCGCTGGTCAAAATGCTGTCAATCGATGTAATCGGCGTAAAAAACAACCATCATATGTCATTAAATGCTCAGGGAGGAAAAATTTATGAAAAATGGTTCAATCAATAATGTCTAACCTGTTGCATTCATCGTCAATGGTTATTGACTTTTTAACAAATCTCTACGACATGTAAACGATAAATAAAAACATTTAGAAATGAACTTTGCTTAATAAAGCAGTAAATTGTTTTTATTTCGATTTCGATTTACTTTTCACTTTTCTGTTTAGTTGACGTCAAATAACGTTCATTAATCTGTTAGAAAGACTATGAAAAACAATAACACGAAATGAGCAATCATTTAAAGTACCAGAGTTGTAATCAACTTGCGAAATGGAATGATATAAATTACTCTTAAACCACTTTTTTGAAGGTAACCAGTATATACCCAAATGGTTATATTGAATAATCTGCACTGTTTTTAAAATTGGTTAACTTCATAGTTAACCAGCACAGTTAACTAAATATGCACAGTTTGGTGCAAAGACAGTGATAAAGAGACTGATTAGACCTGATAAAAAAGTCAAAATTAAAAATGAAAATGATAAGAACCCAGAAATGAAAATAGGAAAACCCATTGAAAGCAATGGGAAATGACGACAAAATTTTGTCTTGAAAATTAAAAAAAGTGTTGAGATTAGATTAAATATTGGTCTAAGTCAGTTAAACCTCTTTATCTCGAAGTTATATGATTGTAATCACTCGGGCTTCGCCCTCGTGTTTAAATCATATAACTTCTCGATGAACAGGTTTAACTATCACTTAACCATTTCAAACAAAACAATCAATGGAAATATTAGACGCTCTAGTAATTATTAATAACCAAAGATACCTAAAAAATGTTTGATTTGGCAAAACTAAATGAATGAATGATTAAGTCTGTTCAGTCATTTTTCGCAATTTATTTACTTTTCACTTTACAATTTCAAAGAAACAATGTTGAAATCGGTTCATTTTCATTGCTTTTCATTCATGAATCATGCTTGTTTTATCAGCGAGAATCATTTTAGTTATTTGTCATCAGAATCACTAGACAAGATAGATTGAACAAAAACAGAACATGTCTGTAAAATTGTCAAAACTAACCTTAGGTCTGACAGTTTTATAATGGACAGACTTTTATTAGCTGATAAACTCAAAGCTTTTCGATCAACAGGTAAATCTCAAATAAATCCCTAAGCTTAGCGTAGTTTTGTCAATTTTTGAACATATTTCCTATTTTTGCTGAGCGACTTTGCAAAATTGACATCACTTTATGCTCACAATTTGTCAGTATCTTTTGTATTGGATTGAATGATTAAAACTGTTAAATTGAATGGTAAATCAATGGTCAAGAGCTAAATGCCAATAGTAAAGTCAATATTTAGCGTGTTTTACGCTTTGGCTCTAAATTTCTCAACATCCTTGTGATGCTTTTGTTCTTGTTAGGGTTATCCTTGAAAGGATATTTGGATAATTTGTTTTTGCTAGCGACTGAAACATTACGGTTCTGTTTTAAAGGGAAATACTTGACCAATGAT